ATATTATACAGTAAAATGTTATGTACATTGTACATGCATACGATTCGCGTGAAATTAATTGCGACGGGGTACCTCCTTAGATTTAAGCAACGGCTTTCATGCGTACATATACATTATATACACGGACGGGAAAAGGGTTAAAGGGTGCCTTTGATGTGCGTCTCCGGGCCGCCACTAAGGGCGGCCTCGTGCACAGTATATAACACACACACACACACGCACACACACTTATACGAGATACACATATATAAATAAATATACACCCCCTGGAAACCCTTAGGGGTATTTCGTAAATTAGTTCCGAGCGCAAACATGGAATTTCTATATTGTTTTTGTCCCGTCACGCTGTATATAATATATATATATGCGCAATAAACATATATGTATATAAGTACTATACCCATAGTATATGTATATAATATACGTATTATATATTCTCGCGTAGTCGTGTATTTGAAATGTATGTGGCTCATGTATATATTTATATAATATATTATAGTAGTCGGCAGTCACATGCAAACTGCTGCAGCGTGGTGGGTGGTTTTTGCGAGTCGGCGTTCCTTCAATTTGCATAATATATACAAGTGGACGTGGTATATCTAGGTACCTGGTATAAACCCGTATACTGGTTTAATATATATGCCGTGCAGTTGAGGATCAGAAAAAAAAAAAAAAACTAAAAAAACTAAAAAAGCTAATCCTACATACCATATATTATGTACAGTTGTATATTAAGATAATATTATTAATCTGCATTACGCGAGAGGATATAATGAAACTTCACTCGGCTTGGACTAAAAATTTGGTTTTCGGGCCTGTCCGGGATTTGAACCCGGGACCTCTCGCACCCAAAGCGAGAATCATACCCCTAGACCAACAGGCCGCGGTGTGTGAATGTTGTCAATGGTCGCGATTTAAAGTAGTCGGACTTCTGCAGAATCGCTCCCACCAATACGCGTTACTGAGCAAAAGAGAATGTGTGGATAAAAAAAAATTCGAAAAAAAAAACATCAAATTTGCAAAAAAAAATTTGGTTTCGGGCCTGTCCGGGATTTGAACCCGGGACCTCTCGCACCCAAAGCGAGAATCATACCCCTAGACCAACAGGCCGCGGTGAAAGAGAGTTGCAAACGATCGTCGTTTAGTCACAGCCTCGCGTGTTCGAGATGTAAACATAAAAAACATGTTTTGAAATAAAAAGAGAAAGATAAAAATTGCAAAAAAAACATCAATATGCAAAAAAAAAATTTGGTTTCGGGCCTGTCCGGGATTTGAACCCGGGACCTCTCGCACCCAAAGCGAGAATCATACCCCTAGACCAACAGGCCGCGGTGAAAGAGAGTCGCGAACGATCGTGATTTAGTCACGAACGCGAGTGACCAAAGCAAAAACAAAACCAAACAAGTCTTAAATAAAGTAAAAGGTATCGAAAAAAAAAAAAAATTATATGGGCCTGTCCGGGATTTGAACCCGGGACCTCTCGCACCCAAAGCGAGAATCATACCCCTAGACCAACAGGCCGCCATATATGTGATCGACATTCGTACTCTTTTTAAGGTCCATCCAAATACATTTTCAACGTTTCACTTTATGTGAACGACCGATCATTATTATTATTGAAGATTCACTGCTCCTGTATCTTCCACAACTATAATTGACGCCACTGCTACCATAACACGATTCTACCGAATACGTGACATTGATTTTCAGCTCGTCCGTTCAATCGAATATTTATCGTTTCTGAATAATATATAACTAGAGAGTCTTAATAATAATTTAAGTAACAATAATAAAAATAATAATTAGGGCTCTACATATAACTATAATAATTGTCATGGATTGTGATCTATGGTCTATGGCCAATGGCCATACAACCTAAAATAGATAGGTACTTATTGCAACTTGTAATATATTTTAATCTAATACCTAATATTATTACACTTTTATAAATTAAAAATGTGTTGATAGATAATTTATTAGTTAGTTATTATTGCTAATTACTGTAATATTTTCAAATCATCCTTACCGATAGCCGATATACGTAATCCCTAAGGCCCCATATCAACTAAACCTATTATTATTTATTTTTAGTAGGTACCCACGCAAAATTAAATAACTCAAGAACTACTCCTTCAAATGTCGATTTAGATGTATCAATATTTTAAAAATATCATCTAGGTACTACAGAATTAATAAGAAAAAAGTATGATTTTAATTATTTAAAAAAAATAAGTTAGAATTGCCAGGGGACACTCTTTAAATTATTTACAAAATTTAACAATTTGTAAATAAAGCCATTATTAAGATATGTAAGCTTAAAAACTCCAACAATCAGAATTTAATAAATATTAATTAGGTATTAAATAAAATAAAAAATGAATGTGAACATACTTTGTGAATTACTTTGTATAACATATTTTTATTTTATAATATATGTATAATCTTTTTTTTCTTAGACCACAAAACTTTATAATATTTAAACATATTTTTATTATTCCAATTTTTTTTTATGGCCAAAAAATGAAAATAATAGTCAGGTAGTACTAGGGTTTTAATTTTTTAATATTTTTGTTTTTCCAGCTTTAGTTGCACATTCGAATAAAATGCTAATATACCTTCTCCAGAAATATATTGATTTGTTTTTGTTCATTAACAATCATTTTTAACTCACTATAGAACCAGCGGGACCATAATGATTAATTTTTTTATTTATCCAGGCACCTAGTTTTCAATATGTTTGTACATCAGAATTAAAATTCAAGATTTAATTTCGAGTCTTTAAAATTCAAAATTACTAGTTTTGGATTAATATTGCTCCATAGGTAGGTATACCTAAAATTGATTAAAACATTTATATTAATGTATTAATAGTATTAACCATAAGTTCCGAAAATATGTTAGATACCTAGGTAAATACTAACTTTTTAAATTAGCAACAGAAAAAAATGGTAAGAAAAAAATAAAACGTATGTACATGCTTAAAATACTTGTTTATACAAAAATGGCACAATATGTTCTATGTATTATAATTGTATAAGATGTGTATTGTGTATAACTTATACCGGGTACAAGTTAAGGTTATTAACTAAATTTCTAACTAAATAATAATTATTTAATTGTCTTAAGACATATTTCATAGAATGAATGATCTTCCACAGGAATTATGATGATAATAGATATAGTATAATACTAACTTATTATAATCTTATTTGTAGTTATTTATATTGTAGTTATTTTACTTATTATTCTTTATTTCTATTAATTCCTATATAAGTTATTTATTTTAATCCGATAACAACGATAATTTTGTCTTTTTAACAGTTATTTGATACTTTGTTATTAAAAGAGTCCTACATCCTACGTCCTAAATATTAAATATTAAAATACTGTATAACTACAAGAACTAATCATTATTAAATTGTATTATATACTATTTTTAGTGTTGAAAATATTAAAAAGGAAACAAATATATTTCTTTTTATTTCTACTAGAAACTTAGTAGGTAGGAAAATACTAAGTATTTTGTTATTTGAGATTTTTCCCAAAGCAATAATACCTAGCTATTTATAAAATCTTCAAATTTAATAATTTTAACGATATTAATCAATAGATGTAAACCAATATAATATTATATTTGAGTACTATAATTATGTTTATTCACTATATTATTTAACATATTATACTTTATAAATCAAAACATACATACTTTATCAATTATCTCTTTAAATATTGAAATCACCGAAGCTCAAGAACTCAAAATATTCGTATACTTATGTAAAACAAAGTTTTGATTAAAAATGTACGGAGTTATGAAATACATATTTAGAACATAACTAATATATTTAATATTTATGTGGATATAGGTAGTTTAAACAAATAGCCAAATAGGTATGTTGCAAACAATGAATTCCAAAGTAAGGTATGTTTAAAATGTATTCAATATTACTCAAAATAGCAAACTTCATAGTTTTAACTATGAATTTGTATGGTTTCTCGTAAAATATAAAATCGGTTTCTGTTTTACTCAAGTAAAAACTCATAAATCTAATCTTAAAAAACAATACATTTGATATTTAAGTAAGGAGTAATGTTTTCTATGAAGTATACTATCCTCTATTATAGAGCTTTAAATGATTTTTTTTTTATCATACAGTGTTTAGTAATGCATGTATCTGATGTTCATACAAATTAAACGTATGAACTTAAACAATTGTCATATCGCGTGAGCTTTAAAAAATGTTGGGAATAATTTATTTAAAATATTGATTTTCAATGCCAATTGCTTTAATATAATGTATTATTATAGTACAAATGAATAAAATATGTAACATAATATTATATACTCATGCACGTCTAATATAATAATATTAGGTACACTACATTATAATTTATTAATTGCGACAATTCACAAACACCGTCGAAAACAATAAAATAACATTTAGGTACCTTGATTACGTTATTCTTATCTATGCATATGTATTATTATTAAACTTTACTAATAATTGCATTGGAGCAATTATTAATATTGAAATATAAGCCACAATGATAAAAAAAAAATTATACCCACTCCATCAAAATATTAGCCCAACGTTTTCAGTTCATTATATTAGGTTATTATATTATTTATTACCTACCTGTTATAGTTTTAAATTATATGATTTATACACCATCGTATTCCTTTATGGCGTGGCGATTTATAATACAATATTTTTATTGATGATATATTTGGACAAGCCGCCACCGATTGTGGGCGGAGGAATAGCAGAGAGGTCAAGGGTTCTCGAGGGTGAAACTTCCCCCAAAACGGGATGAACTACTGAGTGTGCGCAGCACATACACGAGTGTTATGACGTGCGGTTCCAAACTGGTTTGGGGCGTTTTACGGTAAAAATAACAAAATATAATAAAATAACAACAATCACGGCCGCAGACGTATATAAATACGTCTGCGGCCGTATATGCCACAATAATAATAAAGTATAATATTCTTTGGTACTCACTCGCAGTTTCAGATTTTCAGTACAGTTTTGAGCGCGCGTCCCGTGTGTCCTCCACCGTCGACTAGTAATATTTAAATATGCTCTCTTCTGTGGTGCGTTTAACCCTTTCGGCGGTGTTTTTTGAACCACGTCGATCTAAATTTGCCTTTTTTTCCTCTCTCTCTCTCTCACTCACACTCTATTTCACACCATGTCCCCTCGACCCCCGTCGCACCACACCCGTTCGCGGCGCCCTTCTATACCCTATACATAATATTGTATATATTATAATATTATATACACGCGCCTCGCTACCGGTTCCCCGCGAGAAGGCACGTCGAATGCCGAACACAGCCTCCCAGGATCGAGGAGCGCATAAATTTGCATACCCTTTTTATTATTATTATTACTAAACATAGGTAGGCACACATATTATATATTACTATTATACTATGCGTGCAATATTATGTAGGCACTGTCGTCGTTATACGGGTGCACCTGGATCGACGAACCCAAACTCGCATATTATACAATATACAATGTGTACCTATTTAAATAACCTATTACTGATTCATCAAAATCGGCGCTAGCTACATCATACATCTATATTGCGATGTGTATTATACTGTTAAACTACAATATAACATGCGAAAAACACGACTACATATTATAATATTATCACTAACTATCGACGTTTGCACCTATAATCTATATGGATCATAGGACAAGTTAGTTGTATTACCATTTAGACATTACGTATAATATAATGTGTACAGAGTACAACGGATTTTATTTTATTTGTCTTATACGTTCGTGTTATGTGGACAATAACAAACATCGCAGTGTCGTTGAGTATCTTATAAAATGTGACATTGTATAATTTGGTCAATAGTTATTGGTCGCTGTAAATTGTGTCAAACTACTATTTTTTGAAATGTAAATCGCGGTCCGGGTATATTGCAGAATGCAGATACATACCTACGTGACTACGTAAATTGTGGCCTGACTAGCCTGGGTACATTTTGTGTTTAATATAATTTATTATTGCGTTACATACAATGTAAATTGTGGCTAATATATTTTTTATTCATACGTAAATTATGTTGGGGGATAATTTTGAAAATACATATTTTCTTTCTATTTTTCAGACTTCAGACTGGCAAGAGGCAATATGATTGTATAGTACAATTTATATGGTTAAAAAGTAACTTGTAAAAAATCGTATTGTATAAACACACTATAACCTATAGAACGCTTGTAGACAAATAACACATTTGTTTGTTTGAATTTTGTTCATTTATTCATCATTTATAATTTATGTATCTTTTCCCATAATTTTTCTAATTTTTATTCAATGGCTTTTTAAACTAATATAATATGTATCACTTTGCATGTTTTTTTTAATTATACCAGAAATTCTCGCGCTTTTTAAAATTACTCAAAAATACTCAATTCTACTCCGAATATGTCTTACCGACATAGAACCAACCATAGACATATTAATAAAATATGAACTCCTTTTTTTGAAGTCAACAGGTCTTTATAATTTAATTTAATGATTCACATTTGTTTTATTTCTTTCTTATATAAATACTTAGAAACCATACTGTTATAACTTATCTTTAATATTGTAATCCCCTAAAAAAAAAAAAAATGATGTAAAAATCTTAAACCATGTAAACATACCATAACTGTAACTAATGGCCATGCAGTTGCCGAGTTTTTGTATTTGATCAATAAAAAAAAAAAAAAAAAATATGAACTACACTTCACCCATATCGTGCTATAATGTGCTATTAGTTGCAAAGATCCAACATTGTTAGAAAGAGAGTCAATACCTGTGCATATAATAGAGTTTATAGTGCCTATTTTGTGTTTTAAAATTATGATTAGAATATCTGTCATTATTTCATACATAAACGTAATATTATCTGTGTATAGTGTGTTTGCGGGTAATTTTATTTATATGAGTATAAAATTTATATGTATATTCTTTTTCACTTATTAGTAGAAATAAATCTGGTTGAAATACATATTATTAGTTATCACTATTCAACATAATATGCTTATTACCAACTTGCTACTGCTTAAATTAAGCATTGACGAAATATGATTGTGAATTAAAATATTCAACAGGTTGGTTAGGTATCATTGATCAATACTTGTTTACTTGGAAAGTTGAAGAGCAGCAAACCCGTATAAATATTTAGAATAGGTGACAAGTTCTGTTGCAACATTAGAATAAGTCTTAATAAGTTGGTCTAAGTCGTAAAGGTCGTATAAGTTCAAAATGGTACATTTTACAGGAAAGGCAAAAAACGTTTCAAACATTTGTCGTAGATCTTATTCCCTAATTCGTAAATGCCTTATCTCTTTAGTTTAGTATATATATTATATCATGGTAATATGGAGATACGACTTTTTCTAGGTACTTAAAATCTAAAAGATAAAATTATAAAATTGAAGTTATTATGACATTATCATAATATGATGTGTTATTTTGCTTCATTTTAATTACAGATGATCCCAAAATCGAAAAAAGTAAAGTTACAGTCTTTACGTTTTATGCCGACTAATATCATATATTTTATGACATAATATATTTTCACCATTTTCATTTCTGATTGCATTCAATAATATTCATTTAATAGTTCATCAAAGTTTAATAATAGCCCAATCATACCCACTTTTTCATGTTTAAGGAACGATTAGCGATAAGCTTACTATTGATTCATTAAATTGTTAGTGTTTGATAAATTGCTAAATGTTTATGCAACCCGGCATAGGTATATTTTATAAGTATACCTACTTTTAATTTACACAGGTACTAGGTACCTTTGTATTTGCGACTTTTTTTTCTTTCTTTTATACAAAAATAATAATATTATAGAACTATAACAAAACAATAAAAAATACATTTTAGAGATCTATTATGCATAACTTAATAGATAGTTTGATAAATAAAACAATACTATAATTATAATAGTACTATTATAATATAACAACATATTATGTAGGCACAATAATTCTGCAAAATTGAGATTAACTTAAGCTTATGATAATAAAGATTGTTTTTATATAGGTAGACAATTCAAAACGTTTTGACCTATTGACAGTTAAACGTGAAAATATGCGTTAAAGAAAACCAGAAAGTTATTTCCTGATTACGTACAGTAGCCGTAAAAAAATGCAACGTCTGGAATGTTTTTAATCTGTTGTTTTTGTTTTTGTTTTCTTCTCTCGTTTTCGTTTTCTTTTTTTTTAATCGACGATAAATATTTATGGCACTTGTTGCATGCAAATTAAATCCAGACACCGCTGGCTGAGGGGGATGGATAAATTACTTCTTTTAACAGCAATAACAAAGAAGGCGGCAGCGGCGTCGGTGACGCGGTGGGGCGAGGCGCGAGGTGCAATAGAATAATAATAAAAAAAGTAAGAAACTTTTCCTCGCTGTGAGGGTAGTTAAAACATTTGGCCTTGAGGGAAATATGAGTCAAGGTCATAATTAAAATAAAAAGAACGCAGAAAAGTTCAACACTCCCCTTACCGACGTCGCGCTCGGTCTTTAGTGCAGTGGCACGCGATAAAAAAAAAAATACTACGAGTAATAATAATAAACACAAAAGCACTCCTCCTTTCGTTTTCATCCACCGTTCGTTAAATGATTATGTTTCGCGCATTTTTTTAAGATTTATTTTATTTCCACCCTTGACCTGAATTAAAAGACTCGTGAATTTTATACACTGCTCTTTGCCGGTATTTCGTGAAACACTGAGGCCCACTAGTCTCTGTCGATCAATTATTACTCGTAGGTAGGTATAAAACCAAGCCTGCAGCAGATGGTATAACTGCGTTGTCGAAATTACAGAAAAAAAGTGAAGGAAGGATATTTCTGGTACTCGCCGATTTTATTACTGGACTGCAATGCAACAGCAGCTACAAAGTGGCTCAATGAATGTGATGTGTATAATAATTTAATTTAATTTTCAAACTGTTTAAAATCGTATAAAAAATCAATCAGACATATTATTATTAATATAACCCTTTACTTTATTGTAGGTACTCTATGGAGAAACAATTTTACCGTCAGTATTATATTTCCTGCGGGTATAGGTACTTGTGTTTGGCATATAGTTAACTGATTAGATTAACTTTATTTGAATTAATAATATTTTATATTATTATAACGATTCCGTTTCAAAGGTAAGTAACAAATATTTTGTGCCTATATAATATAATGCAATGTGCTTATTACTAGGTAAGTCATTTTTTTATTTCATGACAAGTAGATGTATTATTATATGGGTCCAAGACAATCATTGTAATAAACATGAACTGCAATTACATAATAACCATATTTCTATATTATATGATATCAAGAAATATTAATTTAAGAAACTGATGCCTTTTTCATCGGGCTACAATAAATATGTTGTATTTATTATATATCTCAACGTATCCTCAGTTTTAATTATATGCGTTTACGCGCAGAAAATGCAAAACCATATTTTTAATTTTTTGAACAAATTAAAATATTTTTATAATACTTTGTAAACGTATACATAGTTATACAACTATTATAGGTAAACTCTAACATTACAGGATTCTCGTTAAGTCTTCCGTTACAATACAATACAATTATAATAATAATACATATTAGTATATTACTGTAATCAATTAGGATAAAATATAATGACAAAGATTTTCTGGGTGTCTGCGGCTGTCACAATAGTAATACTATTAATAAACAAATTATAGACCATGCGCCGTGCAGATGATAATAATATATAGGTGTATAATGCATAATAATATTAATAGTAATATAATAATAATGCGAATAGTATAGAATATTCGCGCTTGGGAATTTACCATAATTCGTAACTTTAAAAAGGGTTGTGTAATATAATTTGCCGAGATACAAATTCGTACAATCGTATTAAAGGTAATATTATTATGCTATTTCGTTCTTGGCATCATATATTAATATTAATAATAATAATAATAATTTCGGCGGGCATACCCTTGTATTCTTTGACAAGGAACACGTTTTTTAATATGCGCAACCGTGACCTTATATTATATTATTATGTATATAATATAGGATGCCTTAAAACCTATTGTGGCTGTACGAGGCATACATATTATTGGAGTTCCGTTTCTAGCACCACGACGACGACACAGCTGCACCGGCCGACCGACAATATAATATTATACAATAATATTCCGCGGGCTTTCTCAGATTAAAATTCTCTATCTCGCGATCCGAATCGACAGTACTTCTATATATATCTACGACATATACGGTATTCG